AGACCACGAGACAAATGCTACTCTCTTCATGAAAGACAACGAAACGCTGTTCTGTCAGGTACCTCTGGTATACTGTATGTTTTGTGCCCGGACTGCCGCTTCGACCCGATCGCGGGCTGCGACATGGCTCTACTACTCTTCCCTCACAAATCCTGAATTGCACATGAAATTGACATCTTAAGCATCACTTGCGCGAGGGGTGGCGTCACATATCGCGGTTCCTACAGCATTACATTAATCAGTTTGTTCGACTCGGTTCAGGAGGTATTGCAGCTTATGACGGGTGTCCTTAAGTCATATAATTTGGCACTAATTAATAATTGCTAATTTGTGGTCATATTAGAAGTGACGTATTCCAAACAGTTTTTTACGGTTCTTTTTTAAAATGCAATTGCGTTTCATGCCCTTTTTGAAATATAACCTTGTTCCAGAACGATTAATAAATTTTTTGTCCAGACATATTACCCAATATGGTTTGTAAATAAGTACACAACTTGCTGGTCCTTCACAGCGGCTGGCACTTGGCTTGTGTATGATGTGCTTCTTCGCTCGTGTTCGCTGTAGTCAACAGGGCGACGGGTGACAACGACCACGTGAACTTGTGCAAAGCCGTAGCCAATATAAGATCAAGACTAGCGAATACGAGCTTGTTTATCAAAGAATGTGGCGCCAACTTATGCGCCACTGCATCTCCACGCCATGTGGCATCTGATGCTGCTTCTTATTCCCTGGTGATAGGTTGTTAGAACGTGTCAGAGGAAAACTCAGTCAATTATCTTGGCAGCTGAGGGCTGTAAAATTAAAAGTGGTCCATCTCCTCACCAGTACTTTAAACCTAATCTACCATGCGACCGTTGATCAGCGTCCTAGGGTCTTTCGCCGCTTGTGGTGCCTTCAGCACATTTTGGACATCTTGCTGTACCGCACGGTCAGATCTCATGCATGTATTTGTATTGGGATCGTCGCCTTGAGCCGTTTGCATGAACAGAATGTTTTCTGATTTGAGGTGTACGATATATTCACAACTGTTTCACGCTTTTTCCATTACGCACCAGTTACTGCATCGTAGAAGAAAGTGCTCTCTTAAAAAAGGAAACCTGCTTTAT